GACACTTGCATTGTTATCAAGTTTCAATTGGATGGGAATACTATTAGAAATTTATACTTTCCAATAGGGTAACGACACATGGCAAAGTGACTAAAGTGCACACCATAGTGTACTTGTAGCAAGGTCCTTACCGATTGAACTTTATTTTATGTACACTGATTTTCAACACGTTGTTTAACACTTGCATTGTTGTCAAGTGTCAAATGGATGGGAAAACTGTTAAAAATTTAGACTATCCAACAGAGTAATGTCATGTGGCAAAGTGCAAACTAAAGTGTACACCATAGTGTGCATGTAGCATGGTCCTTACCGATTGAACTTTACTATTTGTATACTGATTGTCAACACGTTGTTTGACACTTGCATTGTTATCAAGTGTCAATTGGATGGGAAAATTGATTGAAATTTAAATTGTCCAATAGCATAATGTCATGTGGCAAAGTGTAACTAAAGTGTACACCATAGTGTACATGCAGCAAGGTCTTTACCGATTGCACTTTACTATTTGTGTACTGATTATCGACATGTTGTTTGACACTTGCATCGTTGTTCAGTGTTGATTGGATGGGAAAACTGTTTGAAATTTAAACTGACCAGCAGGGTAATGTCACGTGGCAAAGTGTAAACTAAAGTGTACACCATAGTGTACATGTAGCAAGGTCCTTACCAATTGAACTTTACTATTTGTAAACTGATTTTTCACACATTGTTTGGCATTTACATTGTTGTCAAGTGTCAATTGGATGGGAAATCTATTTGAAATTTAAACTATCCAAAAGGGTAATGTCACATGGCAAAGTTTACTCTAAAGTGTACATGTAGCATGGTTCATACCGATTGAACTTCGCTATTTGTACACTGATTTTCGACACGTTCTTTGACACTTGCGTTGTTGTCAAGTGTCAATTGGATAGGAAGACTGTTTGAAATTTATACTGTCCAACAGGGTAATGTCACGTGACAAAGTGTAAACTAAAGTGCACACTGTAGTGTACATGTAGCAAGGTCCTTACCGATTGAACTTTTCTATTTGTACACTAATTTTTGACACGTTGTTTGACACTTGCATTATTGTCAAGTGTCGACCGGATGGGAAAACTGTTTGAAATTTAAACTGTCCATTAAGGTAATGTCGTGTGGCAAAGTGTAAACTAAAGTGTACACCGTAGTGTACACGTAGCAAGGTCCTTACTAATTGAACTTTACTATTTGTACTCTGATCGTCGACACGTTGTTTAACACTCTCATTGTTTTCAAGTGTTAAGTTGATGGGAAAACTGTTTGAAATTTAAATTCCCCAACAAGGTAATGTCACATGGAAAAGTGCAAGGTCCTTACCGATTGATCTTTTCCATTTGTACGCTGATTGTCGACACATTGTTTTACACTTGCATTATTGTCAAGTGTAAATTGGATGGAAAAACCGTTTGAAATTTAAATTGTCCAACAGGGAAATGTCACGTGGCAAAGTGTAAAATAAAGTGTACACCATAGTGTACATGTAGGAAGGTTCTTACCGATTGAACATTACTGTTTGTACACTAATTTTCGACACGTTGTTTGACACTCGCAGTGTTGTCAAGTGTCAATTGGATGGAAAAATTGTTTGAAATTTATACTGTCCAATAGGGTATTTCACGTGGCAAAGTGTAAACTAAAGTGTACACCATAGTGTACGTGTAGCAAGGTCCTTACCGATTGAACTTTGCTATTTGCACACTGATTTTCGACACGTTGTTTGACACTTGCATTGTTGTCAAGTGTCAATTGGATTGGAAAACTATTTGAAATTTTAACTCTCCAACAGGGTAATGTCACATGGCAAAGTGTAAACTAAAGTGTACACCATAGTGTGCATGTAGCAAGGTCTTTACCTATTGAACTTTACTAATTGTACACTGATTTTCAACACATTGTTTGACACTTGTATTGTTGTCAAGTGTCAATTGGATGGGAAAACTATTTGAAATTTAAACTGTCGAACATGGTAATGAAACGTGGCAAGGTGTAAACTAAAGTGTACACCATAGTATATATGTAGCAAGATTCATACCGATTGAACTTTGCTATTTGTACACTGATTTTCAACAGGTTGTTTGACACTTACATTGTTGTCAAGTGCCAATTGGATGGGAAAACTGTTTGAAATTTAAATTGTCTAATAGGGTAACGTCACGTGGTATAGTGTAAAGTAAAGCGTACACCATAGTGTACATGTTGCAACTTTCATACCGATTGAACTTTGCTATTTGTACACTGATTGTTGACACGTTGTTTGACACTTGCATTGTTATCAAGTGTCAATTGGATGGGATAATTGTTGGGAATTTAAACTGTCCAACAGCGTAATGTCACGCGGCAAAGTGTAAACTAAAGTGTATACCATAGTGTACATGTAGAAAGGACCTTACCGACTATACTTTACAATTTGTACACTGATTATCGACACATTGTTTGACACTTGCATTGCTGTCAAGAGTCAATTGGATGGGAAAACTATTTGAAATTTAAACTGTCTAGCAGGGTAATGTAATGTGGCAAAGTGTGAACTAAAGTGTACACCATAGTGTACATGTAGCAAGGTCCTTACCAATTGAACTTTACTATCTGTACACTAATGTCGACACGTTGTTTGACACTTGCATTATTTTCAAGTGTCAATTGTATAGGAAAACTATTTGAAATTTACATAGTCTAGCAGGGTAATGACACGTGGCAAAGTGTAAACTAAAGTGTATACCATCGTTTACATGTAGCAAAGTTCTTACCGATTGAACTTTGCTATTTGTACACTGATTTTTGACACGTTGTTTGAAACATGCATTGTTGTCAAGTGTTAATTGGATAAGAATATTGTTTGAAATTTAAACTGTCCAATAGGGTAATGTCACATGGCGAAATGTAAACTAAAGTGCACACCATAGTGTAGATGTAGTAAGGTCTATACCGATTGTACACTGATTTTCGACACATTATTTGACACTTGCATTGTTGTCAAGTGTTAATTGGATGGGAAAACTATTTGAAATTTAAACTGTCCAATAGGGTAACGTCACATGACAAAGTTTAAACTAAAGTGTACACCATAGTGTACATGTAGCAAGGTTCTTACCGATTCAACATTGCTATTTGTACACTAATTTTTGACACGTTATTTGACACTTGCGTTGTTGTCAAGTGTCAATTGGATGGGAAATCTATTTGAAATTTAAATTGTCCAACAGAGTAATGTCACGTGGCAAAGTTTACTCTAAACTGTACATGCAGCATGGTTCATACCGATTGAACTTCGCTATTTGTACACTAATTTTCTACACGTTGTTTGGCACTTGCATTGTTGTCAAGTGTCAATTGGTTAGGATAACAGTTTGAAATTTATAGTGTCCAATAGGGTAATGTCACGTGGCAAAGTGTAAATTAAATTGTACACCATAGTGTACATGTAGCAAGATTTTTACCGATTGAACTTTGCTATTTGTACACTGATTTTTGACACGTTGTTTGACACTTACATTGCTGTGAAGTGTCAATTGGATGATAAAACTATTTGAAATTTAAACTGTCCAATAGGGTAATGTCACGTACAGAGTGTAAACTAAAGTGTACACCATAGTGTACATGTAGCAAGGTTCTTACCGATTGAATTTTGCTATTTGTACACTGATTTTTGACACGTTGTTTGACACTTGCAATGTTGTCAACTGCCAATTGGATGGAAAAACTGCTTGAAATTTAAACTGTCGAGCAGGGTAATGTCACATGGCAAAGTGTAAACTAAAGTGTACAATATAGTGTAAATGTCACGGGTTTCTTACCGATTGAACTTTACTATTTGTACACTGATTTTTGACACGTTGTTTGACACTTGCATTATTATCAAGTGTCAATTGGAATGGAAAATTGTTTGAAATTTAAGCTGTCCAATTGGGTAATGTCACATGACTAAGTGTAAACGAAAGTTTACACCATAGTGTTCATGTAGCAAGGTCCTTACCAATTGAACTTTGCTATTTGTACACTGATTTTTGACATGTTGTTTGACACTTGCATTGTTGTCTAGTGTCAATTGGATGGGATAACTGTTTGAAATTTAAACTGTCTAAAAGAGATATGTCACATGGTAAAGTGTAAACTAAAGTGTGCACCATGGTGTGCAAGAAACAAGGTTCTCACTAATTCAACTTTGGTATTTGCACACTGATTTTTTACAAGTGGTTTGACACTTGCATTATTGTCAAGTGTCAATTGGACGGGAAAACTGTTTGAAATTTTAACTGTCTAACTGTAATACCCCGAACTTCACGTTCTACATTTGGCCAATATGATTCATGCATTTCATGCTAATTACATTGTCATTTGTATCAATTTCCTGATTGCCTTCTCTTAAAATGATGCATTTGATCATCAAGGCTTTAAAATCTTTACATGGTGATAACCTTCGACTCTTCGATCTAGGTGGTGAATTTTATATTGAGCTATGATAGAAAGTTAGATTAACTAAATGTTGGAGATTGGCTTGGTAAGTAATGTAATATTTGAAAGGCCGAAAATTTGTATCAACGAAGGTTCAAGCTTTCCATTCGGCTAATCGAGGTCACCTTAAACCCTAGATAGGTAATTCACATATTTGGGACATGAGGGATGAAGTGACATTATCACAACGTAATAATATATGTCTTATACGACATTATAGATATTGAGGTGCGAATTGTTGAAATCGGTTGAGAATCGGGTAAGAAATTAAATGAACAGTTGAGGAATTAGATCTATAAAGTACTTTGGGATCTTAATGCAAGTGAAATAGATTGTAAGCACATCAAAATAAACCAATGACACTTGATTTATACCTGCAAGGATAGATGTAAAATCAGAATTTAATCAAAGGAGACAACACCTACTTAACATGTGACGACTTGCCACTTTAACCTCGACTTCAACTATTTAAAGACCACTAATTTACCTCCTAGATAATATATTAGCTCCCTGAACTCGTCCCTAAGTGATTCCAAGTGAAAAGAGGGTGAAACAGCCAAAGAGAATTAGAAGCAAGAAGCTGGAATTTCTGAACAGCTTTGTTACTCCACAGTTTTGAGGTTTGTTTCTATTATTTCTTAAGGGGTTTATGATTTCTTGAACATCTTAAGTTGTTTGTGATTAAGTCGGAGTGTTGTTAATGATGTTATGATGCCTAAATAGGGGTAATTAATGGCAAGAATTTGAAAGAAATTAATCTGGACAGAGATGAGGAATTGCTGGATTGAGTGATTTATACCTTGATTTTAGGATGATACTTAGTGTTTAACTTATATATATCAATATGAACGTTTTTATATGTAATCAGGGAGTGTAGAAATGATTTTAATGGCCTAGGATTCTGTTGGTATCATAATAATAAAATGGAAACCGAAAACAATCAAAGGGAAAAACTGCCTGATTTTGTGTAGTAGAAAATGGACTGTTTTTGAAGCTCCAAACACTTCATTTGTCACAATGTTATGATCTGATTATCTTCACATATATGTTATAGGTGTGTGGTAAAAGTTTGGGAACCGTTAAATGTCGGTAAGGACATGAAGAAAAATTTGAAAAATGAGTGGACGGTGATGGAAACCTAGAAAACAGATTCTGTCCATTTGGGTATTTAATGTGATTTCAACATTTAGATGTCCCCTAATGAACTCTTGGGCCTAGAAAATATATCCTAAGGAATACTAGGTTGTCGAAAACAATTGGATGACGTTGACGTTCATAATTGGACTCGAGAGATAGCGAGACTTACGGGATTAGTTTGTAATGCCATCGGTAACTCGAAATAATGATTTTGTCTAAATTGTTTTGGTGTGAATGGACGTATTTTGGGATTGTGTGTGTTAAGATTATTAAATAGAGATTGTATTTAATATTAGATGATAATACAGGAGACTTTTCGACGTTGAGCGAAAAAGGAAATTGATACACACTCCATAGGAGCTTACACACATAAAGGCGAAAGGTAAGTGAAAATCCATTTGCAACTACGATGCAAGAACCTAGTATATGTGACATAGTAATGTTGAGATATCTACATAAGATTGATAAGAGGCTTATAGCACACCATATGGTGGTTACGATCATTGAGTATGAGGTTGCTTAACCTATAGATAGCGATTTGCATTAAATATGTCATTCATGAGCATTTTCATATGCATGCACGACATGTGATTATGATTGAAAATCCTACATGCAAAATATGATTTCAAAGTGAGTTTCATTATAAATGTTTTATTGACCACTACTAGGGCACCGAGGCATGTGAGGCATGCTTACGTGATATGTTTGGCATTGCGGGTGTTACTTCCTGGGTGATTGCAAAGTTAGATAGGGGATGGGCCTTTGGTGATCACGGGAGGGCGGACCACTCGACTATGCCCTTGTTATGATTATTGGCGCTGCCAGGTGGGAGACTTCTTGGGTGATCATAGGGGCAGTCAGGGGATGGGCCTCTAGTGGTCACGAGAGGATGGTCCACTTGTCGGTGTCGATTTCATACTGGCCATTTGATTATTGATATTGATATTATGCAGAGCTCTATCCGGTGCATAGTAGATAGGTCAAGGGCCCAATGAAATGAAAGATTTCAAGTGAAATGATTTCTAGTCGACTTTGACGAATATTGAAATATGATATTTTTATCGTGATATTTAAAGTAAATGGCATGGTGTCATATGTTGTTATTACTCATGTTCAGGACATGCATGATTTTGCTTACTAAGCATTGGCTTATGTAGTTCTTGTATTGTAGGTGAACATGGAACTACATAGAGAGCATGGCTAGCTGTAGAGCTCCTACAGGATTCCAGAGTTCGATGTACATGGATGACGACCTGTAGGGTTATTTTGTAGGCTGCCATTTGTAGGGTTATATTTTGGAATCCTATATAGTGTACTTTTGAAATGGCCTGTAGACATGTTTATAAGCTCAGAATATATATATGTTGGATTATGGCGATATGATTTTGGGTTTCGATATGTTATATGATCATGTCACAGGTGATTAGAAGTTAAAAAAAAACTCGAAAAAAAAAATATGTAAAATTCTATATCTAGGTTGTGTATAGATATCAATGTTAATTTGGGGGCGTGACAGAGAGTGGTATCAGAGCGAGGTTATAATTCTGTAGACTGTCGATGTGCATGATCTCGGAATATGAAAGAGCACAACTATGCCAGTAAGTTTTATTCGTTGCATTATTTTTTTTTTTTTGCATATTTCATGAATGATATTGGCCAACCTTTATTTGTAACCATGGTGAGAACCAGAGATGCTAGTAGTAGTAGAGCTAGAACTCCAGGACAAGAGGCATCTGTTCAAGATGACAGTCGGGATGTTGTTATTGATAGACTAACGGAACTAGTTGAGCAACAATCTCAACAAATTCAGCAATTAATACTGATGCATTAAAAGTAGAAAGGTTTCTTGAGGGGTTAAGACCAGAACTATATAGAAATGTAAGTATGGCAGGAATCCTAGATGTTTCATATTCTCAAATTGCGGAGAGAGCCTTAGTTGCAGAACAAGCCGAACAAAGGATTAGTCGTGCTCAAGAGGCTCGTCGACAGTTTAGGCAAGGTCAAGGACAGCATTGGCCTAGAAACGATAAGAAAAGGTCTTTCCAAGGACAAAATCAGAAGCCTAAGTTTCAACCGAGACAAGGACAACAACATTGGGATCAAGGCAAACGTCCAAGGATAGATCAAGGAAAAGCCTCAACAACACAACCATCTTGTCCCAAATGTGGTGGACAGCATACTGGAGCATGTCCTATAGAGACTAGAACATGTTATGTTTGTGGAAAGATGGGACATCTTGCCAGAGCATGCCCAGGTAATCCAAACCCTATGGAACAAAAGAAAGTACCAGCTAGGGTGTTTACTATTACCAGATTTGATGCTAAGACAAATCCATCCGTGGTAACAGGTAAATTCTCTATTTTTGGCATCACAGCACTAGTACTATTTGATTCTGGAGCCACACATTCATTTGTGTCTACTAAGTATGTGAGGAGGTTAGGTAGGACACCTGATATACAAGAGGTTAGTTATAGTGTAACTATTCCATCTGGAGATGTACAACAAACCAATCTAATTGTAAGAGCATGTGCGATCCTCATAGAAAATCGAGAGCTCTATGCAGATTTAATTGTGTTAGAAATGAAAGATTATGACATAATTTTGGGTATGGATTGGTTGTCAAAGTATCAAGCTACAATAGATTGTATGAGGAAGTCAGTAACCTTTCAACCTTTGGGAAATGAGCCATTTACATTCATTGGGATCGAAAAAGATTTTAGAGTTCCAACCATATCGATATTGAAAGCACAAAGGTTACTAGATAGTGGGTGTGCAGGGTATTTGGTTAGTGTTAATGCTATTGAAGCACAACACAATCCAAATCTTAGTGATGTGCCAGTGGCACAAGAATTTCCAGAGGCATTTCCTGATGATTTACCTGGGGTACCACTAGATCGTGAGATAGAGTTTGTAATTGATTTAATTCCAGGAACATCTCCAATTTCCAAGGCTCCGTATAGAATGGCCCCAACTGAACTAAAAGAGTTGAAGTTACAATTATAAGAGGTGTTAGATAAAGGTTTTATTAGACCTAGCTTTTCACCATGGGGTGCACCAGTATTGTTTATTCGTAAAAAGGACGGTACTATGAGGTTGTGCATCGATTACCGAGAGTTGAATAAGGTGACAATTAAAAATAAATACCCATTACCGAGAATTGATGATTTGTTTGATCAACTTCAGGGTGCATCTGTATTTTCGAAGATTGATTTGCGATCTAGATACCATCAACTTAAAATAAAGGGAGATGACACTTCTAAGACATCATTTAGTATGAGATATGGTCATTATGAGTTTTTGGTAATGCCATTTGGGTTAACAAATGCCCCAGCAGCTTTTATGGATCTGATGAATAGGGTATTTGGAGACTTTCTCGATAAGTTTGTAATTGTATTTATCGATGATATCCTTATTTATTCTCGTACTAAGGAAGAACATGCGAAACACTTGAGAATAGTTCTGCAGGTCTTAAAGGACAAGCAGTTATATGCTAAGTTTAAGAAATGTGAATTTTGGTTAGATAGAGTTGTATTTTTGGGACATGTAGTATCGGGTGAGGGTATATCAGTAGATCCAAGTAAAGTAGAGGCTATTAATAATTGGCCATGACCTACAAATCCTTCAGAGGTCAGAAGTTTTATGGGTTTAGCTGGATATTATCGTAGATTTGTGGAAGGATTTTCCAAAATAGCTTCTTCTTTAACGAAATTAACCAGAAAGAGTACTAAGTTTGAATGGACAGATGCTTGTGAGCAAAGTTTTCAGGAATTGAAGAAAAGACTAACTTCAGCCCCTATCCTTTCAATCCCATCTGGTACTGGAAATTTTGTAGTTTATAGTGATGCTTCAAAGAATGGTTTGGGATCTGTATTGATGCAAAATGGTAAAGTTATGGCATATGCCCCTAGACAACTAAAAGAGTACGAAAAGAATTACCCTACACATGATTTGGAACTCGCCGCAGTTGTGTTTGCACTTAAGATATGGAGGCATTATTTGTATGGAGAGCGGTGTGAGATTTACACTGATCACAAAATTTGAAGTATCTATTTACACAAAAGGAATTGAATATGAGATAAAGAAGGTGGCTAGAGTTGGTAAAGGATTATGATTGTGTAATAAACTATCATCTCGGTAAGGCTAATGTTGTAGTTGATGCATTGAGTAGGAAGTCGACATCCAGTGTTTCGAATATGATTGTAATTCAAAAATCAGAATTGATAGATTTATAGAAAATGGGTATTGAAGTTATGTCACAAGGATCTATAGAGGCTAAACTTGCTGCGTCGACACTTCAGCCAATTTTACTGAACAGAATTCAACAAGGGCAACAGGAAGATGATTATTATTCAAAAATAAAGAATGATATACATGATGGAAAAGCTTCAGATTTTCATATATCAGCAGATGATATCTTGCGGTTTAGAGGAGGATTATATGTACCTAATACAGAAAATATCCAAGGTGATATTTTATCTGAAGCTCATATGACACCCTATTCTGTTCATCCTGGAGCTACTAAAATGTATAGAGATTTGAAGTTGCACTATTGGTGGCCGAACATGAAAAGTGAGATAGCCAAATACGTGGGACAATGTTTAACTTGTCAACAGATAAAAGCAGAACATCAAAAGCCAGCGGGAACATTACAACCATTACCTATCCCGGAATGGAAATGGGAAAGAATCACAATGGACTTTGTGGTGAGATTACCAAAAACGACTAAAGGATATGATAGTATTTGGGTTATTGTGGATAGGTTAACGAAATCAGCCCATTTCATTCCAGTTTGTTCCACTTACTCCATGGACCGATATGCTCAGCTTTATGTACAAGAAATAGTCAGACTTCATGGAGTACCACTATCTATTGTCTCAGACAGGGATTCGAAGTTTTTATCTCTCTTCTGGAGAAGCTTACATAAGGCTATGGGAACACAATTATCTTTTAGCACAGCTTATCATCCTCAAACTGACGGGCAATCAGAAAGAACCATACAAATATTGGAAGATATGCTAAGAGCTTGTGTATTGGACTTCCAAGGCCAGTGGAGTAAATTTTTACCTTTGGTAGAATTTGCATACAACAATAGTTATCAGGCTACAATTGGTATGGCTCCTTATGAAGCATTATAATATGGTACGTGAAATGGCTGAGGTTGTGACACAAATACGTCAACGGATGCAAACCGCTCAAAATCGACAGAAAAGCTATGCAGATCAAAGAAGAAGAATGTTAGAATTTACTGTGGGTGATCAAGTATTTTTAAAGATAGCACCAATGAAAGGAGTGATGCGGTTTGGAAAGAAGGGAAAACTAAGCCCGAGATATATTGGTCCATTTACTATTATTGAGAGAATCGGGAATGTTGCCTACAAACGTGACCTTCCTTCATCGATGTCTCAAGTACATAATGTGTTTCATATATCCATGCTAAGAAAATATATTGGAAATCCTTCTCATGTATCGAGGAATGAACCGATGGAAATAAAACCAGATTTGACTTACAAAGAAAAGCCGATAGAGATCCTTCAACGAGAGATAAAGCAACTGAGGAGCAAGAAAATTCCATTGGTTAAGATATTGTGGCGGAATCAGTCAACAGAAGAGGCCACTTGGGAAAGAGAAGACGAAATGCGGATTAAATATCCTGAACTTTTTGGTAAG